TTGATAGGATACAGAAAATATATGTTGGGAGCCTCTTTTTAAATTCATCATTGCATCAGTATTGATTTGTCTGCTCAAATGTTCTGTTTTTCTTCAGTGGATACTGTTATTTGAAAGGTTTATTTCTATGCTTTTTTGTCATTTTGAAAGAATCAGTGAGGTTGTCAGGACAGGCCACTTCTGAGAGACAGTGGTTTCACACAAATGTGGATTGAAGATTGGGCAGGGGAGAAGAGACTTCCACAACTGATAATAGATGTGCAGCTACTGTCATAGCAAATGAAGTGGCTAGTTAATTTTCATAGCTCATGTCTGGCATTTCAAAAGAAGGGTTGTATCTCCTGACATAACTATGGACAGAGATGCAAATTAAGTAATTTGATACTGTTTTGTTGTTTGGGTTTTTTTGACATTGCTCCAATTAAAGACCAGTTTGTACTTGCTTGTGAGTGTTATTAACTTCCCTCCCCCATGGGGCCTACTGTAGGTAGAAGAAGATTGATTTTTCTTGCTACTCTACATGTATTTTTTTTTTACAAGAGATGCTGCACAGCTTTCCTTTTTTCAAGACACAGAATAGAGATGTTTGTCTTACCTGTTAAGAATGAAGGGCATTTGTAGTTTTACAAAGGAAATCAAGTGTGCACAAATACTTGTTGGAATGAATCTTTTAATATGATCTTGTAATCCTATGAGTCTTGTAATATTTATCTGTTGTTTTGTTTTAGTATTTTTCCCCCTCCTGTTTTTGCTTTTGTAAGCTCTTTTTCTTGTACATGTCAAACAGCTCTGGTCTTTGAAGGTCTGATTCTTGAAGTTTGTCTACCCTCTCCTTCCTGGCAGATTCTAAGTGTGTGGGGCTCAGGTTCTGAGCCCTGAGTTCCTCTAATCCATCTCCTATGTGCAGTTGGAGACTGCTTTAGTTCCTCTCCCTGACATCTTCCATATGATGGATCAGGCCTGGCAAGATGGGATGCTTGGAGTTTGCCCTGTGGAGTGCAGTTTGCTCTCTTCAGCATGCAGATTAGGGTGCTTCAGGGTTACCCCGAAGAAAGGCTGTGCAAGGCTTATAAATGGGTAGGAAAAATGGTATTTAAGTCTTCCTTGAGGCCATTTCTGCACTGCAGATTGAAGCCACCACTAAAGATGAAGTCAAAGTCTCACCGGCATAAGTCAAGTCAGAATTGGGTTTGAAGAAAACCAGACATGAGAGAATTGAGAATGGAATGTGGGAGCATGTAAAATGCTACAGATAAAACACAAATTGCTGATTATTTGAAATTAGGGTTTCAGCCAGATACACTGGCATGAGCTATAATCACAGCTGAATGTTTGTGAATAACCATGTGTTAAGATGCAGAGTGGAGGGGAGCCTTCATTTGAGTTTGTGCTTGCTCTGATACCTTGCTATTCAAAGGAAGCCTGTAGAATTTGTTTTTCCTTATACAATGCAAGATCATTCACATAATGTTAGTTTTTATGTAGTTGAAGGTGGTAAACAATAGTTTTACATTTTGATAGACTTTTTAACTCAAGTACTAATCAGTTTCAGTAGAGAAATGAAAACAGTTGTAGATGTTGAAATTATCAAGTAGGGGAATCACACATCTGGGCATTTATGGCTTTATTGTCTCAAGTAACAAATCTAATTTAAAAGCAGAGCTACTTTTTCTAGTTCAGTGGAAAGCAGTATAACTGAAACAAAGTGGTGAGCTGCTACTGATCTGTTATTGCAATCAGCTACTTCTGTCACATTTTATGTGAAGAAGAAAGGGGGATAAATTGAAACTAGCACATAAAATATTGTTTTAACATTGCTGCTGGCTAGATTTGTAAATGGAAATAATAAATCCTAATACAGCATTGAGAGGAATACTAAAGAATTCCCACTAGCTTATGTTATTTACAGCTGTTCTAAAGTTTTATTTCTTTTATTTATGTCTCTTTCCAAAGGGGTTGGACCTGAGATGGTGCTCATAGTTAGCTAATCTTATGCTAGTGAATCTCAATTTTAGCTAAATTTTACCATAAGGACAGATAAAAATGGTGTTATAAAATTAAGTAGTATTGCATGGTAATCTGCTGGATGATAAAATAAATTTTCATAAAATACTGAAATTAAATTGTATGAACTGATTATTTTAAAATGCTCCTAAATAACTGCAAGTACATGGAAAGGAGTGAAAAAGAGTGGATATGTCTTTATATTTATTATCCCCATAGCTTCCTTGGTAATGCAGGAGTAGAAGATGTTAGCATTTCAGCTCATATAAAAAAAAGACACATATGAATTTTCTGAAGTTCAGATTAAGAGTTCTGGTGAATGCCAGACCATTCTGTGAGTCTGACTATGGAGATTATTGAAGTCACAAAATGATGGAAATTGGAAGGGATCTTTAAAGATCATCTAGTTCATCCCTCCTGCCCTGGCATCTTCCATGAGATCATGTTGGTCATTGAACAGTTCCAGTGATGCAACATCGACTTCTCTGGGCAACCTGTTCCAGTATCTTAGCACCCTTTTCTAGGGAAGAAACTTTTTATGATCCAATCTAAATCTACCCTCTCTGTTTTCATCTGTAACCCTTTGTTCCGTCCCTACAGGGCTTGGTCACTCTGCCTTTCTTGCAAGTCCCCTTTATATATTGAAAGACTGCAATGAGGTCTCTCTGGAGAATCATTCTCTTCTCCAGGCTGAACAACCCAGACGTCTCAGCCTTTATTGAAAGGTGCTCTGATCCTCAGATAATTTTGGTGGCCTTTCCCTGGACCCTCCTCAACAGGTCCCTGACTTTCTTGTCCTGAGGATCCCAGAACTGCGCACAGTTCTCCATGTGTGGCTCATGAGAGCAGATTAAAAGAGGACAATCCCTTCCCGTGACCTACTGGCCATGTCTTGGAAACTTTGTGAACATATGACTACATACTTGTATGAAGGCATGCACAAACATGATCTTTTTAAACATTCACAAAGCGAGATCCAGCTTCAAAGCATGGGCTTCATAGTTGTGATAGCAAATCCCTGTATTCAAGCTTACAAATGCTGCAGTTTTGAAAAACTATGGTGGTTGTCTCCATTACAATGATTCTAATGTATCTATTTCTTCTTCTGAATTGAGAATAATTGAGAGAATAATTTTTATTTTATTTTATTTTTCTATTATCTGTGTGAGTTTTATACATAAAAAGTTTTGTATTATTGTGGTTAAGAGCCAGCTGGAAGCTAAGCTTGGCATATGTTCACTCAGTTGATCCATGGATGGGACTGGGGAGAGTATCAGAACAGTAAAGGTAGAAAAACCTCATGGCTTGTGATAAAGACAGTTTAATAGGTAAAGCAAAACCATGCACACAAGCAAAGCAAGGAATTTTTTCACTATTTCCCAGATGTTCAGCCACCCCCTTTGTCATACATAGTGGTGATTTGGGAAGACAAACACCATCACTCCAAATATCCGTCCCTTCCTCCTCCTCCCTTTGGCATTATATGTTGAGGATACCATATTGTGTGGAATATCCCTTCGGTCAGTTGGGATCACCTGTCCCATCTGTGTCCCCTCCCAGCTCCTTGTGCACCCCCAGCCGTCCCTGGTGGAATGGGGTGAGAAGCAGAAGAGGCCTTGATGCTGTATGTCAGCATTTGTAAGCACTGCTCAGCAGTATCAAAAGCATCCCCATGTTATCAACACTGCTTCCAGCCCAAATCCAAAGCATAGACCATAGCTATTGTGAAGAAAATTATGCCAGATAAAACCAACATATGTAACATATGTATATTATTCCAGTATTTGTATCACTCTTTAATAAAAAAAGAATAAAAAAGAAATAAGATACAGTGCTGCTGTATTAGTACTTTGCATTCTGGCCTACCTGTATTCCTCCTCCTTGGAAACTGATTTCCAGATCTATAGCTGGTGCCAACAGTGACAGAGTACTGCAGTCACATTCCCTGTGGGAATACCTTGTCAAATTCCTATGAAAGGGTGTCCTTTTACTCCCTCATAGACTGACAATTGTAGGCTAATTGTGAACAATAGATTGACCAGAATCTTCAGCCATTCTGTTTCCAGAGTATGGATTTATAAATGGTGGAAGAGATACATACATATAATGTCCTCACACTGATCTTAGAGTGTATTGCAGAGTTTGTACTCCATTTCTCATCTTCAGTCATTTAGGTTTTCCTGATGTTGTTTCAGTCTTCCACTATACAGAAAGTAAATCATTATTTTGTTTCATCTTTTAACACCACAAACATACACTTCTGAGCTGTGAGTTTTTTCCAAAATTGACCTTTCAGAAACATCTCTGGAAGAGCAACAAGTTGCTGTTTGTCCTTGTGCCAGTTTCATACTTCTCTTTCTCTTCTCATTGTGTTTTATTTTCCTTTAGATTAAATTATTATTTTGCATGTTATACTGTATTGGTTGTTTTACTGCAGTCGGGATAAATCAGAGCTATACTGTTTCCTTATCTTGGAAATGCACTTTATTATCAAAATTATAAAATAAAACTGGCACAGGTGTCTTTTGGGAAACTCATACTGCCTTTAATTGAATTTTCCATTTACGTAAAGGTTCATTATCTTTGCTTGACAACTTGTTTTAAATGTTGTGCAATATTGAAATGCAACTAATGGACTTCTCATGAATCACTACTAATCTATATCAATTTCTTAAATGCAAGTACTACCTTTTGTCTACAACTTAGCAATTCTAGACAGCAAGTGTTTACAAAGATGGACTGAAAGATGATTTTGTTCAGTTTTCTACCAAATTTGCCTGCTGAAATGCTTTCCTAACTTTTTAATGTTCACTTTACACTTGTATGAGCCTTTAACTCCACAGAAGGGACCAGGAGTCAGGATTTGTACTTATGTTGTGGCACAGCATCATTTTCTAAGCAGAACTGGATGGTGTGTTCCATTTAAATATGTTAGGGAGAATATGTCTAGCCTGAAAGAAATATTATCATTTATGTACATTTCTTTTGTCTTTCAGAACAATGGGTCACTTGCTTGGTGCCAGAATCATAAACAGTGTTCAAAGGTAAGTCTGTTTTTTCCTCTCTCATTTATGTTACCTATCTGCTTTCAGTCTGTTGTCTGTAGATTAAGTGCTTTTCTTCTTAGCCTGTTTTCAGAAGTGTCTGTTTATATTTTATTTGGAAACCTCAACCTGTAATAAAATATCAAAAATTAAAACCTAGTGATTTACTCTTTCAGGACAAAGGAACCATGTTGCAGGATATGTATCAAGCATAGTTAAACCAACATAATTCTGTCATTTTAAGAAAGTTTACACTGGCTAGAAACTGGTGTCTCATTTGTGTTTTTTTCAGTATTTTTGGTCAGAAGAGAGTAAAACTGTCAATAACTTAAAAATCTTCCTCCAACAGTACCAGGATATTTCAACATTCAACATTTTATTCAGCTTGGATATTTAATTTTTATCTTGAACCTGAGTTTCTTGGAAAGTATTCTTGACACAAATCCCAGTTGACTCTACTGATGCCCCTTTCCCATTCTAGCATTCAAACCCTGGAAGCCTGAACGGTAAATGTGCTAATTGTCAACTGATTCTCCTGTCGGAGGGTCTTTCTATGTGTCTGGATGGAAGCAGCAACAATTTGGGAGCTTTAGTGAGTTTAGCTCAAGTGGAATTGCACATTTGTTGCTGACTGTTCTTAAATCTCATGGAAGATGCATTCACTGGAAATTTGCCTAAAGGTCCTAAAAATGTGTTTCAACAATAATTTAGGCTTTTTTATTCATGAAGGTTGTAGTGAAAATGGAATTAAATCTAAGTAGCATTGTTTTGCATTGTTTCAATAATGCAGTCGATGTTAAATGCTGATGCTAACCCTTGATTTTAACCCATGTTAATTTCTTGTGTACATTTAAAGAATGAAATTACACGTTTGCTGATCTAGCATCCCTTGACATAAAAGGGATTGGAAATTGGCCGATTTTTTGACTGTTCTGTTGCAGGTAAATAAAACAAAGTTGGTTGCTTTTATCAGTATTAAAATACAGGGTATAACAGCGTCAATATAAGAAAATGATGGAATGGAACATTTCCTATTAGCTGTGTCACACTGCTAAGGATTTCACTTCTGCAAGGAAATCTTATCATTCTTAAAATTCTTCTTGAAAACCCCAAACAGACGTACCAAGTACATATTTCATGTTAACTGAATTGCCTTTTCCGGAAAGCATGAGGGCCTTGTTCCATAGTGACCCATCACTTGTTCCATAGTGATTCTGATAACAGTTTTTAAAAAATTGGGTTGCAAAGCCTACTGTGGCAAGTACTTGGAAGGGTATTCCAATGGTTTGTGTCTGCCCAACAAAGAAGGAATTGCACAAGAAAAGTAGTCCAGGTTTTAAGGCAGGGCAGAGGTTATAAGATTATCTCTCTGAGTCACTCACAAGTTTATTGAATCCACATAAAGTGTATATAAGCTGACATGAATTTTGCCTTAAAATTGAATCAGTATCTCAAAACCAGTGTAAGAATGCTACAAATTAATATTGTATTACAAAACAATGATAGTTTAAGTTTTAAATTACTTAAAATGTGCTTTGCAGTTATGTTACCCTATGTTTTTCATTCTTTCTTAGGAAGGTAATATATTTTCCTTAAGAAAGCAGCTTTGCCATATTTAGAAAATAAATAAATGTAAACTTGGCCAAATTGTTAGCAGAGCTAAACTTAAGTATAATGTTGTCTTTTCAGCATGGCTTTGATTTTTTGTGTTTTGCAATGCAAAGTTAAAACAATTACTTTAGCTAGCTAAAATTTTCAAAGTGATGCAGAGAATTCAGTTAACCTTTTAAAAATGCAGATTCCTTTTACTTGTTCTCAGCCCCTCGATGGAGGAGGTTTGTATGAGTGTGACAGGTGCTGGAAGATTCCAAAGGAATGGTGTGCCACCTTACACAACTAACATGGAAGGCCTTGCTGGAGATCAAAAGGTTGGGGGCAGCCTTGGCTGCATTGACCATGAGATTGTGGAAATCAGTATTGGGCAAGAAGGAGGCAGGGCAGCAAGCAAGCGTGGACTTCAGGAGAGCAAGCTTTAGCCTCTTTAGAGGTCCTCTTGGAGGAATCCTGTGGGAACAGATCCTGTGGGGAAGAGGGGTCCAGAAGAGCTAGTTGACCTTAAGGATCACTTCTGTAAGGTTCAAGAATGATGCATCCTGGTGAGTAAGAAATCGGGCAAAGTAGACAAGAGACCTGTGTGGATGAATGAAGAACTGGTATCATTTCTTCAATGTAAGTAGGAAATACATAGGAGATGGAAGCAGGGTCAGGCCACTTGGAATGAATACAGGGAGGTTATCACAGTGAGTAGAAATGAGGCAAGGAAGTCCAAGACACATCTCGAATAAATGGAATGGGTAACGGAGGACAAGGAGAAGGCAGAGTTGCTGAACCTTCCTTACATCAGTTTTCATTTACAAGACCAGCCTTCAGGAATATCTGACACAGGAGATCTGGGTAAAGGAGTGTTTGTTGTAAGGAAGACTTTCCCTTGGTTAGGGAGGATTGGGTTAGAGAACCCTTAACATCTCTGACTCCATGGGCTCTGATGGGCTGTCCCCACAAGTGTTGAGAGACGTGGTGAGCACCATAAGTAGGTCAAACACAATCACCTTTGAAAGGTTGTGGCAATCAGGGGAAGTGCCTGAGGACTGCAAGAAAACAGATGTCACCCCAGCCTTCAGAAGAGGCAAGAAGGAGGACCTAGGGAACCTAACAACCAGTCAGCCTCATCTCAATCCCTGGGAAAGTGGTGGAGTGCCTCACTCCGAAGTCCATCTCCACATGGATGACAAGTAGATTATCAGGAGTAGTCCTTGACCAACCTGATGGCCTTCTACAATGAGACAACTTGCATGGGTGGATGGGGAAATCCAGTGGATAATTTCTACCTCAGTTTCAGCAAGGCATTTGACACTTTTTTGCAATATCCTTGGAAACAAACTCAGGAAGGAAGGAGTGGATGGATTGAGAACTGACTGACTGGCAAATTGCAGAGAGATGTAATGAGGCACAGGGTCTGGCTGGGGCCTGTCACTCGTGGTATCCCCCATGGTTCCATACTTGGCTCAGTATTGTTTTTCTTTTCATCAATGACTTGGATGAGAGAGGATGAGATGCCTCCTCCTTCAGTGACAACACAAAGCTGAGAGGAGTGTCTGATACCCCAGAGAGCTGTGCAGCCCTTCAGAAGGACCTCAACAGGACGGAGAGAGGGGCAGGGAAGAACTGTGAAATTCAGCAAAGGCAGGGTCCTGCATCTGGGGAAGAACAGCCCCCTGTGCCAGGACAGACTGAGTGACCTGCTGGAAAGCAGCTCTGTGGAGAAGGACCTGGGGGTGCTGGTGAACAACCATCTGCCCATGAGCCAGCAGTGGGTGCTGGGGGCCAGGGAGGCCAGGGGGATCCTGGGGTGCATTAGGGAGAGCATTGCCAGCAGGGAGGTGATCCTGCCCTCTGCTCAGCCCTGGTGAGGCCACATCTGAGTGCTGTGTCCGGTCAGGCCCTACCCATAGGAAGGTCTGCTGCCTTCCTGGGGGCCTGGGTAGGGATGCCGCCTGGAAACTTCCTACCCTGGAGGAGTCCTGAGACTACTACTCATTACTGATTTTCCACATAGGAGATGACGAAGTGGCAACATGTAGTCCAAGGATGATCAAAAAGGACTTTGGAATGTTTGGCAAGGCAATCTGAGGCACAAGTTACTATTTCCTCTCTACTTCCAGTTGAAGGCAGCAACATTGGAAGAAACTGATGGGCTGAGTCTGTTACTGCATGGTTCTGTGGCTGGTATCATCACCAAAATTTTGGGGTGTTTTCACCATGGAATGGTCTGTGCAGCACCAGGCATGCTTGTACCAGTAAGATCTCACCTTTCTCAGGGAGGAGAGTTGCTGCTTGGGACCCAGAGGGGCTCATTAATAGAGCTTTAAACTATTTATGCTAGGGGAGAGGGACAGTATCAGCTTTGTGCCTGGTGACGTGTGGGATGGGAAGTGAAGGTTAAAGAGACAGTGTGCAAGAGGACCCTCTGCCAGTGACTCTGAAATGTGCTGGCCACACTGGAATGCACTTGCAGTCTTAAGGAGACAAGCCAGGGATTCCTAATGTAACAGAAACCAACAGGGAAACACCAGAGAATTATCTCAAAGGAATTAAGGAAGGCAACTGGCTGACAGGCCAGCTGAGGTGCCTTTACATCAGTGCATGCAGTGTGGGCAGCAGATAGGAGGAGTTCCAAGCCACTGTTCTGCTAGAAAGCTGTGGCCCTGTTGCCATTTTGGGACAAGGTGAATGGACTCAAACTGTGTTTGTGTAGCGGCATTTCACATATACTCTTCAGCCCTCCATGTTCCCAGGAGCCACATAAATATTTCTACTTGCATTGACACACTCATTAGGATTGATAGTACATGTATATAATTGTTTGTGTACTGGGGTTCCATTCATATTTGGTCTAGGCAATGAAAGTTAAAATTTAGCATTTCTTTTACTTTACCAGTAGGTTGCTGGCAGCCCGTCAGACTTGCTGAGTAATGCAAAGGTGGACTCATAAACAATGGCATGAGGAAGTTGAACTGCAAAGTGGAGAGGCTGAAAAAGGGCTGGATTGAGCTGGGCTCAGTATTTCGTAACGCAGTTGTTGAACCAGCACCTGGATCTCATCAGCTCTACTCCTTCCTAGACACCACAGGGGTAAAAAGCTTATTTGGGGAGAGAACCAGACACTCCCTTCTTTTTTCCCCGTACATGACTACACAAAACCCCAGTTCCTGTTGCCAACAGCTGGCTCAGCAGAAGAATTAAAATAGAAGCTATGCAGAGGTTACTGTCTGGTTGGGGAAAGACAGTTAAAGCTGGAAACTGATGGATCTAGTTTTCTTATGCATCTGGCCTAAAGTCTTCCATCAGAGCCAAGTGTTTGGCAAAATAGTGCAAAAAATATGCCTGTCATCTTCAGACTGTCTTTAAATAATATTTTCACATGAGTTAGGCCTGTAGGT